GCATGCCTATAACCCCAGCATTTGAGGAAAAGAACAGAGTTGGGGTCATGCCCCAGGATAGCCTGGGCTATATGTCTCAAAACACCAATTGAAAATGAAAGAAAGAAAAAAAGGAGAAGCTGGAGAGATGGCTCAGTGGCTAAGACTGCCTGCTGCTCTTGCTCACAAGCAAGTCTAACTCCAGCTCCAGGGCTCCAATGTGCTCTTCTGGCTTCTACAAGAATCTGTATGCATGGACTCATACACACAGATACATACAATCACACATATAGAAATAAAATGAAAATATATTTTAATATATTTCCTTTTATTATTAAAATAATAATTATTTAAAAATTATTTTAAAATTATTTTTATTCTTCTCTCATATATTACATTTGACCTCAGTTTCCCTCCCCTTCCCTCACCCTATTCCCCCAACCCAATATAATTATTTGTTAAAGGAAAAAAAAAAGAGTTACCTCTGAAGTTTGACCTATGGAAAAGTTGTCTATGGTTCTTATTTTACATAAGCATTACTCAAGCTAGGTATCGTGAACCCCTGGTCATTGTCTTTGTTAGGGGTTCTATCGCTGTGATGAAACACCATCACCAAAAGAAACTTGGGAAGGAAAGGATTTATTACCATTACACTTCCATATCACAGTCCATCATTCAAGGCTGTCAGGACAGGAACTCAAGCAGGGCAGGAACGTGAAGGGAGCTGATGCAAAGGCCATGGAAGGGTGCTTACTGGCTTGCTCAGCCTGCTTTTTTATAGCGCCCAAGGAGCCCTAGACCCAGGGGCGGTACCGGCTACACTGGGCTGGGCCCTCCCACATCAGTCATCAATCAAGAAAATGCACCAAGGCCGATCAGGTAGAGGCATTTTCTCAGCTGTGGTTCTCTCTTCCAGAACGAGTCTAGCTGTGTCAGGCCGACATAAAACTAGCCAACGGTCATCTTCCTAGGCTGGTACATACTCAGTTTTTCTTTAGTCTTCATGGTAATTCTATGACCCGGGTAGAGTTACCCCTTAGCTGAGAAAATGTGTTCAGAAAAATCTAAGAAACTTGGCCATAGACTCACAGTGACTGTGGTCAGAGCCTGGGTTTGCAGGGAGCTTGGGAGAGCTAAGGCCCAGCTTTGTTGGCTAGCTGCCCTGTCCCCACCCGTGCAGACACTGGTTTGGAGGCTCCGTATACTGTCCTTAAGGCGCTGATTTTGCCCTTACTTGTCTGCACACGTCTCTCTGAGCTCCAGGAAGCCAGGACCCCTCCCCCATTCCTCTTATCTAATGGATTAAATGTGACTGAGTGAGACAAGAGCCTGGCTCCAGGCTGGAAGCGGATTGTGGGGGCCACAGCTGGCTGGCTGGAGAGGCAGTCTTCACACTTCTCCCCACCCCTTCCTTCCCCAAATCCTGTTTGGCACTCTTGGGTTTCTCATGTTGTGGAAGTGAGCTCCCAGCACGCATCTGGGTAGAACCAGTCTCCTCTCACATCCCGGACACACTTTGTTTCCAGCAAATTCCACGCGTTCTAAGGGACCAGAGTTCCCTGGGGAGCGTTTCAAGCCCACTGTGACCTGTAGCTCCTCTTTGGAGACTTTTTAAGCATCTGATGCCAAGTTTTTGCTGTGGATCAAGCCCAGTGTTTTCTCCCCACTCAGCAATGTCAGAGAAGTCTGGGAAATCAACTAACTCAGCTCAAGGTATAGGTGAGAAAGCGGGTCCGTGAGGGGAACTGCCAGGCATCAAGTAAGAGACACTTCTCTCCCGGGTGTTTATTTTTCCTGGTTCCCCAAACCCTGCTTGGGATCCTACATTTAACAATCACCAGCATACACCTATAGCGTTCTCTCTGCTCTCTCTGCCTCTCTCTCTTCCCTCCCTCCCTCCCTCCCTCTCTCCCTCCCTCCCTCTCTCCCTGCTTCCCCCAAGCTTAAATCCCTCCCAGGGGTGGGAGCTGGGGTCTCCCCTCCCTTGTGTTCCCTGGGCACAGCCCAGCTACCACTCTAACAAATCAGTTCTCATGACTCTGAACCTGGCTGGATTTAACCCACAAGACTGTGCAAGGCTCATGGGTCTCTGTATTTTCTAGACCAAAAGCCAGAATCTCAGGGGGGTTAATGGCTCATCTAGTGTTCTCAACTAGTGAGTGGGTTGGGCCCTGGGCAGAGGCCATGCCTCAGCTTTCATCCTCAATACCCCTGTGGGCACACACACACACACACACACACACACACACACACACACACTGTAACATGTGTTTGCATATGCATTCACATTACACATGCAGACACACATAAATGTACATATAATAAATATATTTTTCATGCATGCTTATACATATATGTAGATATATGGTATATCTGTGTATAGTGGTATGCAAAGATACTACCTGCATTCAGCTGTGAAACGTGCATAATAGTAGCCTATTGCGAGACATGGCGGCAGCCAAAGCTTAGGGCTCATACCCTTTACCATAAGCATGACGCAGGGAGTGAACTGGAAATCGAGTCTTTAGACACTCACGGCACTAGCAGTGGGGGTGCTCGCCTTTAATCCCAGCACTATAATGCAGAGGCCGGTGGCCTGTGAGTTCAAGAACAGCCTGTCTACAGAGCAAGTTCCAGGACAGCTGGAGCTACACAGAGGAACTCTGTCTTGAAAAACAAAACAAAACAGAAGCAAAAGCAACAACAAAAAGAGAAAGAACAAAGATATTCAAAGCCTACCTCCAATGACATACTTCTTCCAATAAGGTCATACCTGCTACATGTTCTCTGAACAGCATCACCAACGAGGGACAAAGTGTTCAAATACAGAGCCTATGGGGACATTCTCCTTCAAACCACCACACTAGATCAGAGTGTCATGTAATGGGCTGGAGAAATGGTGTAGTGGTTAGTTAACTGTGCTTACTTCCCCTCCAGAGAATCCAAGCCCACATGAGCTACTGTAAGTCAGTTCCAGGTGATCCAACGCCATATTCTGGCCTCCTTGAGCACTGTGCTCAAGTGCACATACCTACAGACACAGACGCAAACACATGTACATACAAACACACAGAGAGAATTTAAAATGAAGTAAATACTTTAAATAAAAAACTAAAGTATCATATAAACATTTTGTTAGCTCTTCCTAACTATAAGCGGTATCCAGAAGAGGCCTCCAACTCAGAGTACACCAACACCCATGGTTTCCAAGCATTCCAGCACTCTTGCCAAACACTGGCTCTTCTTTTTTCTTTTCTAGTTGTCTATTCTAGTCCATTTTAAATTATATCTCAAAGCTTTTTCTTTCCTCCTGATATTTCCTCTGTGTTTTGTTTGTTTGTTTGGGTTTTTTTTTGTTTGGTTGGTTTTGGTTTTTTTTTTGTTGTTGTTGTTGTTTTGTTTTGTTTTGTTTTTCAAGACAGGGTTTCTTTATGTAGCCATGGCTGTCCTGGACTTGCTTTGTAGACCAGGCTGGCCTCGAACTCACAGAGACCTGCCTGCCTTTGCCTCCCAGAGTGCTGGGATTATAAGGGTGCACCACCATGCCTGGCTTGATATCTCCTTCTTACTCACAAGGTAGAGGTTAAGTTTGGAGAGGGGGTTGTTTTAAAGGTATCTGAGGACCAGTGAGATGGCTCAGTGAGTAAAATCACCTGCTGACCAAAGCCCAAAGACCTAAGTTCTCTCCCCAGGTCTCACAGTGGAAGAAGAGAAATGATCCCTCAAATTTATCTTCTGATCTCTAATTTCTGGTTATGTATGATCTTTCCTCTCCAGCTGATTACACTCCAGTAAGTAAGACTAACAAGAATAAAAACAAGAACAATTGCATGGTTATTCTGTATGGGCAAGGCTCTGGGCTCGAACCCCAGAACCCGAGAATTGAGAAAGAGAAAGAGGGAGAGAGAGAGAGCCCCACTTCTCATTATACTTCTGTAGCTCTATACAGCACCTTATAGCTGAGAAGCTGTTGTCACCACCGTGTCATTCTACACCTCAGCAGGCCAGGCAGGACAAGGGCAGGGACAGCCTCCCCCAAGACACTACATGCACTACCTTACGGATGACATGGCAAAAATTGAGATGCATGCTTGGATGGAGCCACGGAGGCCCAGTGGGCAAGGCAGGAGTAACCAAGGTCTCCCTGGGGCTCATGCCTCTCTCTGGAGCTGTGCTCTTCTCTGCAGCTTTCCACCTGGACCGTTCTTGGCCCGTCCTTCTCTCCACAGACCATCCATTTCCACTTCTTTTTATCCACAAGTGTGCAAACAACAGCTCCATCATTCAGGCTCTGCTTGGGGACTCCACTCAGGCTTGACCTCTAGACTGATACTCTGAACTTACATCCATCATCTCCTAGCACAGACCAGAGCCTCTCTCTGCCCAGATGTCCATCCAGGGTCAGGGTCAGGGTCACGGTCAGGGACAGAGCAGGGGATCTACCATGAAGCACACAGAGGAGCTGGGGCAGAAGGAGAGGCAGATTTTCTTAGGGTGGTGCTGGGAGGAAACAAAGGTAGATCTTTAATTTGGTGCTTACTGAAAGCCGCTGTAACAGTCTGAGCTTGGCAGGAGAACAACGTGCTGGGGGGGGGGGGGCTGGAGGATGGGCTTAGTTGGTAGAGTACTTGTCTGGCATGCATAAACCCTGAGTTCAGTCCCTGGCACCGCATAAGGTAGACGTGGTAAAACTAGACATGGTGGCACTCTTCCATAATCTCAACACGCTGGATGTGAAGGTGGAATCAGAAATTTCAGGTTAGCTTGTGGTACATAGAACTACTACATTAGGTCTGTCAAAAACAAACAAACAAAAACTCTGAAAACAATGCTCATTGTCTGAAGACACACAGCGGAGAACACCTGAGACCAAAGACAGATGCTCTCTGCCCTCTCTATCACTAGGGCCACGCCCAGGTTTCTGTCCACTGCCCTGAACCAGCAGGTACCTCCCTCAACACATCCTAGGAACAGGGCCATCTGCTGAAGCTGTCCAGCTAAAGCCCAGCTCTCCCCTGCAGGTGCGGATCTGGGAGATCCCGGAGGGTGGGCTGAAGCGCAACATGACCGAGGCCCTCCTGGAGCTCCATGGACACAGCCGGCGTGTGGGACTGGTCGAGTGGCACCCCACGACCAACAACATTCTCTTCAGTGCTGGCTATGACTACAAGGTGTGGGGCCCAGGTGTGGAGCGGCCTGGCTAGAGCTGTCTCGGTGGGGAGGCATGGGAGAGATCAGGGCATAGTCTAAGCATGTTGACTGACATGGGAACTGTCCTTCAGCCACTCATTCAATCACTCATTCAATTTCTATGGAAGACTGAGCATCTCCTGTGCACAGTTTTTTCCCGGGGGTCCTAGGACTTACGGCATCTCTCCTGTCTTCTCTGGAGTTCTGTGGCCTAGAAGAGAATGCCTGTATCCTTTGTCTGGTAACTTCCTAACCAAGAGCTGATCATGCCTTCCTGGTACAAAAAAAAGATCTGAGCTGCATGGGTGCAGGGGAAATTGCAGCCCCCAAACCTATCATGCCAGCAGTCTGGGACCAGTCATGGGGATGTCTTCTTTCTTTCTTTCTTTCTTTCTTTCTTTCTTTCTTTCTTTCTTTCTTTCTTTCTTTCTTTCCTTCCTTCCTTCCTTCCTTCCTTCCTTCCTTCCTTCCTA